ACCCCCGTCTCTACTCATAAATAGAAATAAATTAGATGGCCAAACTAATAGTAGTATAGAAAAATAGCCGGCAGTGGCGCATGGCCTGTAGTCCAGCTACTCGGAGGCTGAGGCAGCAGGCATTGCTTAAAGCCTAGAGTTGAGGTTGCTGTGAGCTAGCTGATGCCAGCACTCATTCTAGCCTGGGCCAAACAAAGTGAGACGTCTCAAAAAAAAAAAAAAAAAAAAAAAAAGCTTCCACCTATAAGCAGTAAAAAAGGTACCCCAGCACCCCACCAGGATGGGGAAAGGTAAGTATGGAACCAGGATTTACCCTGATGCTAATAAGAAACCTCCTATCCCTGACGTGTTAGTAGCAGAAATAAATTTGTCCTTCCCCTGCCCACTGGGGTGAAATCATAGGAGCTAGTAGAGAGTTAGACTTCACGTCACCCAAGTGTAATGAGCTGCCTCCACAACATGCCAGAGAGGCTACGTGGAGCGTTAGAACTCCTCATCCCCAGCTGAGCAGAACAACGAAATCGCTTATCCCCCGACTGCAAGTGTCAACAGAGCGCAGCAGAAAATCTGACTTCTATCCCACTGGCAATAACGAGGGTGCGGGCGGGCAAGTAGAGCGGTGTGGCAGACCGTGGTCTGTCAGAAGAGTGAGCGGTGAACAGGAGGGGAGCAGGCGGAAGCAGGTGCAGGCGTGTGAATAAGCCCAGGGTCCCCTACAAATACAAAGTCAAGTTTTTCAATCAAAAACCACTTGGCATATCAAGACAAAGATCTCAAACGAATGAAAAGACAATCAATAGGTAACCAACACCAAGTGACAGCAATGTTTAGAACTATCTGACAAAAGGGTTAAAACAGCCTTGGCAAATGCTTCAATGAGCAATTATAAACACACTTAACACATGAATAAACAGAAAGCCTCGTAAAGAAATATCAATTTCCCAGGAAAGACAGGGAATATACGAGAAGCAAATGGAAATTTAGACTAAAAATACAATAACAAATAAAAAAGCCCAGTGATAGGTCATGCAGAAGGGGAAGAGAGATAAAATCAGCAACTGGAAATAATAGTTAGATAAGACCAGCCTAACCCAAAGCTCATGCAACACAAGAAAAAACAGATGTAAAAATTGGGCTGAAGATGGCTGTTCAGGAAGCACGTGACAGGGTACGACGAGCAGATCTAATCAGATCCTGTCGCTGGAGGTCAGGACAATCTCATAAGTGGAAAAAAGAAATCGCAAGGGAGTTCCGAAAAAGGTATTCCAAGGTTGACGACATAATAGCTATAAACTTGACCAAGACTTTTGGCAAGAGACATAAAATCTACAGAATGCAAGAACAGCTGAGTAAACCAAAACGGGCCCAGGACAAACCCACACAGAAACCTATGCCAAGACTCACTGTAATTAACTTTGAAAACTAACAGCAAAGAAAAAATACTAGAACACTGCCACTTCTTAGCTGCGCAACAGAGGCAAAACCCCACCAGATGACCTTATCCTGAAGCAGCCAGAGGAAAATGTAACACCTAATCTAACGGGAAAACAATGAGAATGAGCAGTGAACCTCTCCATTAGAAATACTATAGAGAGCTGAAGTAAGTGGCAGCCCAAGATTTTCAACTATAGCTTAACTAAAAGAACTGTAGAATCCATTACCCAGAGAAAAATCCAGCATCGATAAGGAAACACTCATGGCACACTCCATATTAACATTGAAAACTAAAGAAATCTCATCACCACGCAGACTCAGAGATCTAAAAAATAATAGGAACGATCTTCTTAATACAGGAAAACAGAGCAAAAATAGATAGAATGAGTGATACAGTTTCTTCCTTTCCTCTTAAGACTTATTTATGCAAATTAGTTCTGGACTCATCCGCTGTGCTATGAGAGCACAGCTATCTATGTTCTTAAATGTCCCAGCAACTCTCTCTTAAAATCCCTGAGAACTGTCCACATTGCCTGTACTTTTTTAGCATGCTAATATGACTGATAGCTTCAGATGAGCTTAGTCGACAGCACTACTGCAAAAGCGATGATTAGACGACTTGGGCACTTCCGAGAACCCTGCCGCAATAGTCTGAGCCTCCTGAATGGGGAGAGGACTGTAAGGTCATAGGCTGCTGCCTCAGCCTCCCGAGTAGCTGAGACTACAGGCATGCACCACCATGCCCGGCTAATTTTTTCTATATATATTAGTTGGTCAATTAATTTCTTTCTATTTATAGTAGAGGGGTCTCGCTCTTGCTCAGGGTGGTTTCGAACTCCTGACCTCGAGCAATCCGCCCGCCTTGGCCTCCCAGTAGTGCTAGGATTACAGGCGTGAGCCCCCACGCCCGGCCTCAAGCTGGTCTTAAACTCCTGGACTCAAGCAATCCTTCCAGAGTGCCAGAATTACAGGTGTGAGCCACTGCACCCACCACATTTCATACTTTTTCTTGGCCTGTTAACATTTAGTAAATGAGGATTAAGTTCAGGGAATATCTCTTGAGGGAGCCACTTAAAACACACAGAGACCTCAGGAAATCAAATTTGTATTAGCATTATTTTAGCCAGTATTTTCCTCATCCAGGTTTATTTTTTTTTTTTATGATCATTAAGATGCTTACCTAAACAAGCTACCATAAAATACATTACCTCTGATTTTATTTAAATTCTAAAGGTTAGGATACAAAGAGGACATAAACATCTATAAGTACCAAAACATTTAGGACCTTACAATTTTATGGTGCAAAAGGGATACAGTTAAGGCATACAAATAAATTATAACCTAAAGAGTTACATACAAAATTTTCTTTGATTATTTATTAAAATCTGCCAGAAAAGTAAAAGGAATGTTATTAAGCCTTTATAAACAATTGTGAACACAGTGTTTTCTTCAATTTCCTGGTCACATGCTCGTGTTAACAGGCACTGGAGACAGCCAGCTTCTTCAAATGATCCATGAACACCTGCAGGCTAACATCATCAGTTAGGATGGGCGCTCCAGTTTCCTGAAATTTAATGAGAAAAGTTTGTTAGCAGGTATCTTAAAAGCAGATTAGAGTTCATGAGCTGTTAAGGATCTTGCGCCTCAGAACATTCCCAGGTGTTGTCCTCTCTGCTAGTACTTTCCATCACTCCCATCCCCTGCCTAGTTAACTAGGGCTTTCAAATGGAAGCCTAATTTTCTCATAAAAATCTTTCCTGCTCCACAGAGATGAGGTTACTGCTGCCTGCTACAGACCCAGTTTTGAACATATGCCCTTCTACTTTGCCTCCTCGCCACAGTTCTGATGGCTCACCAGAGATTAGCTCCCCACCAGTGTGAGCTCCCTGAGGGTGCACCTTTCCCCCTCCTCTTCCCTACCATTCTGCCAGCACCTAACCCCAGTTCTTAAGTACTCTGCTTACAACTAGCTGAATAATGGTGTATTCACAAATGAATAAATGAGAGAATCAGTACCTCCACTGAACAGATGGGTATTTGTAATATCAGAAAATGCATATGATTTAATTAATAGTATTCGGGAGGGCGCGACCGGCAGCGCGCGTGGCTACAGAGCCTGTACAGAATCTATCACCTCACTGAGAGAGCGAGGCACTGGATTGCTAAGCTAAGGCAGTCTTGAAACCAGACCTGAGCAAGAGCCGAAACCCTGTCTCCTATATAAACTAGAAAGAATTAAATTGCCACTAATATACTAACTTAAGATAAAAATGAGCCAGGCATGGTGGCCATGCCTGTAGTCCAGCTAGTCGGAGGCTGAGGCAGAAGGATCAGCATATGAGCAGAGAATATAAGGAATTAGACAGAAAGTGAGCTAGGCTGAGGCACATGCTCACATACTACCCTACGGCAACAAAGCAACTGTCTAAAATTAATGTATATGGGAGACTCATAGAACCTCAATTTACAGTACATAACCAAATTTTTAGAAGGATAATTATACACACACACACACATACATACATACTACTCTTATAATCCTATAGAACAAAGGACAGAAATATTCAATCCTATAGTAGTGGTTATCAAGAGATATAAATTTACATCTTCTTTCTTATTACTTTTTCTAACATTGCACAATTTCTTCTAACATCCAACTGTATGCGTTAAAAGTATAATCATCGATAATGTTTCTTAGGAGGACTGCCAAGTTTCAGGAAACGAAAGTAGATGAGTTCTTGTTTACTATTACTTTCCATAAAGATAACTACCCGATGCCAGATATGTTTTATATATGCTTTAGTTCTTAGGAATGAGTACTTGCCTCTTCATACCAGGCTAGTGCAATGGAGATAAATCATAGCTCACTGCCCTCAAATCCTGGGCCTAAGTGATCCTCCCACCGAAAAAACAACAAAAAAAAATCCAGCCTCCTGAGTTGCATAAGGACTATAGGCACATGCTATCATAATCACAGGAACTATTTTTTTATATATTATATTGATATGACAGGGATCTGGCTATGTATGCCCCCAGATGAGTCTCAACACATCATATAACGGCCATCCCAAGCAATCCTCCCTGACGATCAGCCCTCCCAAGTGCTGACGATTATAGGACAGTGACTACATGCAACCACAGGCACACATGAGAAATAATATAATATATAATACATAAAAAGAGACTTTGAAAGTAAAAGAACAGCAGACAAACCTAGGGAACCTTGGACCCAGGGAAACCAAGTGGTAGTTCCTTTTAGGTTTTCATATACCCCAAATTTGAAGCATGAATATGCTGCATAATCTGACACGATAAGCAATACCAAAGTACGCTTTTTTAGCCAACATGACCAGATGGCATAGCACAGAGTGATTCAACATTGGATAAATCACATCATAACATACCAACCAGCCAAAAATGACCAGAAGAACTCATGGCATGCCTGCCCACTTCAGAAATGGCTGAGTGGCACTTAAAAGGTTCCACCTCTGCCGGCTGGTGGTCACGTCTGTCAATCCGCACTCTGGGACCAGACGAGACAGAACGTTTGAGTATCAGGAGTTCAGGAAACCAAACCTGAGCAAGAGCGACGACCCGTCTCTCATTACTAGATATTATAGGCCATATATATATAGAAAAAATTGACACAGGCATAAGTGCCATGCCTGTAGTCCCAGCTACTCGGGAGGCTGAGGCAGCAGGATTGCTTAAAGCCTAGGAGTTTGAGGTTGCTGTGAGCTAGGCTGATGCCAATGGCCTCATCTAGCTGGGCAACAAAGTGACGACTTTCAAAAAAAAAAAAAAAAAAAAAAAAAAAAGCTTCCACCCTCATAAGGCAGTAACAAGGTACCCCAGCACCCCCACCAGGATGGTGGAGAAGGGTAAGTATGGAACCAGGAATTTCATCCCTGATGGCTAATAAGAAACCTCCCTATCCTGACGGTGTTAGTAGCAGAAATAAATTTGTCCTTCCCCTGCCCACTGGGGTGAAATCAGAGGAGACCTAGTAGAGAGTAGGGACTTCACCGTCACCCAAGTGTAATGAGGCTGTCTCCACAACAGTGCCAGAGGAGGCTACCTGGGGAGCGTAACTCCCATCCCCACTGAGCAGTAACAAGAAATCGCTATCCCCCACTCAAGTGTCAACAGAGGCCAGCAGAAAATCTGGACTTCTATCTCCACCTGGCAATAACGAAATAATGTGCAACCTCTTCCCTGTCAAGAGTAGTGTAACAAAAATCCAGCTAAAGTGGCAGGTTTAAATAAGATCCAGGGTCTCCTACAAATACTAAAATGTCCAAGTTTCAATCAAAAACCACTTGTCATATCAAGGACCAAGATCTCAAACCGAATGAAAAAGACAATCAATAGGTACCAACACCAAGTTGACAGCAATGTTAGAACTATCTGACAAAAGGTGTTAAAACAGCCTTGGCAAATGCTTCAATGAGCAATTATAAACACACTTAAAACACATGAAAAACAGAAAGCCTCGGTAAAGAAATACAAATTCCCAGGAAAGACAGGGAAGATACGGAGAAGCAAATGGAAATTTTAGAACTGAAAAATACAATAACAAATAAAAAGCCCAGTGGATAGGTTCAATGCAGAAGGGGAAGAGAGATAAGAATCAGCAAACTGGAACATAATATAAAAGAAGCTACTCAACTGAACACAAGAAAGAAAACAGATGGTAAAAACTGAATGGGGCCTCAGGAACCTGTGGTACTACAACAGATCTAACATTCCTGTCGCTGGAGGTCAGGAAAGAAAGGAAAAAGAAAGCAGCTGAAAAGGTATTCCAAGAAATAATAGCTAAAAACTTTCCAATTTTGGCAAGAGACATAAATCTACAGAATCAAGAAGCTGAGTAAACCAAAACGGGACAAACCCACACAGAAACCTATGCCAAGACTCACTGTAATTAAACTTTTGAAAACTAACAGCAAAGAAAAAATACTGAAAGCAGCCAGAGGAAAATGACACCTTATCTACGGGGGAAAACAATGAGAATGACAGTGAACCTCCCATTAGAAACTATAGAGGCCAGAGTAAGTGGCACAGTATTTTTCAACTGCTTAACGGAAAGGACTGTCAGAATCCTATACCCAGAGAAAATATTTCTTCAGACATGAAAGGAAAATCAAGGCATTCTCAAATAAAGGAAAACTAAGAATCTATCACCAGCAGACCCTATCCTAAAAGAATAAAGGAAGATTTCTAAACAGGAAACAGAAGCAAAAATATGAATGAATACAGTTTTTCCTTTTCCTCTTAAGACTTATAAATTATGTTTGATCACTGTCTGTGATATTGAGAAACATATATTTGTTCTTTGTCCCAGCAACTCCTAAAATCCCTAGAATCTCCAATGTGCTGTCTTTTTGTATGCTAATATTGACTGATAGCGTCAGGAGGGGGCTAGTCACAGGAATGGCAAAGTCATGATTAGAGACTTGGGACTTCCAGACCCTCTCCGCAACCTCCTGGATGGGGAGAGGGACTGAAGGCCAAGTTGATCACCACTGAGTAATGGTTTAATCAGTCATGCCTAGGTAATGAAGCCTCCATAAAAACCCAAGAGGCCAGGGTTTGGAGAGCTTCCAGATAGCTGAACACTGGGAGGTTCCTGGAGGGTGGTGCACCTGGAGAGGACATACCTCGTCCAATGCATCTCTTCATCTATATCCTTTGTAATATCCTACATAAACCATAAAGGAAAGTAAATATTTCCTGGAGTTCTGTGAGCCACTTTGGCAAACTAATTGAACCAAAAGAGGGGACTGTGGAATCCCCAACTTGAAGCTGATTTGTCAGCAGTTCCGGAGATCCAGATTTGCAACTGGTGTCTGAAGGGTGTAGGGGCTGGGCAGTCTTGGACTGAGCCTCATCCTCTGGGACCTGACACTGTCTCTAGGTAGACAGTGTCAGAACTGAATCGGAGGATATCCAGCTGGTGTACACTGCTTGTTGGTGGGGAAAAAGCCCCAACCATTTGGTCACAGAAATCTCTACTGATTGTTGTGATGTGAGAGCAGAGCAAAAACAGCTTGCATGTTTTTTCAAAACACGTCTGATGTGATCCTAAATATATGTAGTGGAAATATTTAACAGAATTATATTACAAATGGGGGAGAGTAAAGGGATGGAAAGGGAGGTAAGTTCTCTATACTTCACTTGAACCAGTAAAAAGACAGCAATAGTAGTTGTGATAAGTTATGCATATATAATGTAATGCCTAGGGCAACCAGAAGCAACCAAAATAGCTATACAAAGAGATACACTCAAATACACTATAAACAAGTCAACAAAGAATTCTAAAAAATGTTCACGTTACTCATGGGAAGGCAGGAAAAACATACAACCCAGCAAATGTACTCCTGGGCATTTATGTCAAGGAAATGAAGACTTATGTACATTAAAAATATGTGCATGAATGCTTACAGCAGCTTTGTTCCTCATAATCAGAATCTGTGAACATCTCAGATGTCCTTCAATGGGTAAATGATTAAACAAACTATGACACATCTATACTATGGAATAATATTTGGCAAATAAAAATACCTGCAACAAACTGAATGAATCTTTAGGTAATTATGCTGAGGGAAAAAAAGCTAACCCCAAAGGGTTATATACTGTTGACTTCATATATATAACATTCTTGATGATAAAATTAAAGAAATGGCGAACAGATGAGCAGTTGCCACGGGTTAGGAAGGGAGTGGAGGCACGAGGGAAGTGGGTGTTACAATACAAGTGCAACCTGAGCTGTTCGTGGTGATGAAGATGTTGTACATCTTTACCATATCAATGTCAATATTCTGGTTCTGATTTTGCAAGATGTTACCACTAAGGGAAAATGGACAGAAGATGGAAGGGATCTTTCTGTATTCTTTTTCTTTTCTCTTCTCTTCTTTTCTTTTCCTCTGTCTCTTTCTTCCTCTTCTCCCCTTCCTTTCTTCCCTCCTCCTTCCCTCTCCTCTTCCCCCTCCCCCTCCCTCCTGCCCTCCCTCTCTCTTCCTCTCTTCCTCCCCCTCCCCCCCTCCCTCCCTCCCTCCCTTCTTCTCTTCCTTTCGAGACAGGGTCTCACTACATCACCCAGGCTAGTCTTGTCTCTGTATTATTTCTTAAAACTGCATGTAAATTTACTACTATCCCAAAAAAAGTTTAGTTAAAAAAATGTTATAAGAGAACAGAATGAAAGAAAAGTCATCTGAAAGAGACATACATTCTGGGAACAATTAGATAAAGAAGTAATTGGGGACAAAAAAAAAAAGAACAATGAAGGAATCAGGGCCTAGAAACTGAAGAGGAGGCAGAAGGATGGTGAGCAGGAGTTCCCTGTGGTCTTGGGAGTGAGGACCTGGGCTCCGTTGCTGTGTGGAGACAGCCAAATGGAGGCCACAGTGCAAACTTCTGTCCCCTGGCCTGAACCTGGCATGTACGCTGCGTGTTGTGCAAAGCAGTGGTCCCCAATTCCAGGGCTGCAGACCAATACTGCTTACCCCCACCCCACCAGTGGAAAATGTGTCCTTCATGAAAATGAAACTTAGAAAAAGGGGGGGGGACACATCAGGAGGGGAGCAGCCAGCAAGCAGAAGCTTCATCTATAGGCCACACCCCATCACTTGCATCACCTCCTGTGCAAAACCTGTGCAAAGTGTCCCCATAGGCAGCTCCTCCCACCCCCAACCCCCATTTCATGCCCAGCTATGTTATTCAAAGTTGTCCTCCCCTCCCCAGCAAAATACTCAAGTAATTGTGTCTCTGGGCCAAAAGGGACCCAATCTGTAGGATTTTAAAACAAATTTTTAAAAAAGTAGCCTGGCATCCTCTCCAAATACCTGACAATTTCTTACCTGTCCCCAAGCATACAGGTTATTGTGTGTCTGAGATGGGTTCACTTTGGACAAAAGGAATCGAGCCTTTAAAAAAAAAAAAATTTAAAGATCAAATGACATTCATATTAGTGTAATAGAAAAAAGTAAAATAAGTTTTATAACAATTCTTTGGTTAAATTGGAAATCATTTTACTTAGGGGGAACCTATTTCTTTAGCATAAACCCACTGGCTCTCCAGTTATTAAGAATCCTGAGACGTGAAATATGCATTTTACTTTGGCAATCCTCTACTCTTATATCAGCATATTTTGACTACTCATTTAAAAAGAAGTCCCATTGGGAAGATTACCTGCATGTCAATTTATGTCACCACATAAAATTTAACCACTCTGTTTGGATATATGGCCATAAAATATATAATAAAAAAAATAGGACATTAGAGCTGGAATTCAGCTCCATACCTGACTGCCACCATGCTCTGTGTTAATGTAACGTGGCATCGGGAACCGCGCCTGTAGAATTTCTTGAGCATCATCCAGTGGTGCCTGCAGAAGGTGCTTGAAGTTTTTGTACTCGGGCATGTCCTGGTACCCAGCTTTACGCCACTGGGCTATGGTCTACACCAAAACAAACCAACCAAAACTATTGTAGAAACTGTAATGACAGCCTTCATGGTCACATGACATTCCACCACCACCACCACCACCACCACCACCCAGAACTTGTTTCTATTGAAGTAGTCTTATGTCAAAGGTGACAAGTTTCAGAGGGAGAGCAGAGTGACTAGAAAGAAAAACAAGAATAAGCAAAGAGTGTGCATCCAGGACACCTCACCTGCTCAGTTCTCCCAGGAATGCCAGTCATCAGCCAGGCCTCCTCTCCCTTCCTAACTTTATGTGCCAGTTAGTTAACAAAGCCCATGGATTAATTAACCTAAGGAACCATGGCCTCCCCACCTTACCACTTCCACTGTTATCACTCAGTCTAGCCTCTAATCTCCTCACACCTGGTAGGGAAAAGGATTTGTCAGCTGCCCTTATAGAATCCAACCCCTCTTCTCTTTTCCTAACAGCACATGTATTACACACCTCCTCTGGTGCACAGTAATCAAAAGACCAGGTAGAATCCATCCATTCCCACCCCCTGCTCACTCGGGTCCTGAGTTGGGATACTCTTGGCAAGGAGATAAAAGGACTCCATCCCTAGCAGATTCCCAAATCTGAGGATGCTTAAGTCCCTGATATAAAATAAGTAGTATTTGTATATAACCTATGCACATCCTCCCCAAAATTTTAAATCTCTAGAGTACTTATAATACCTAATACAATGTAAATGCTATATAAATAGTTGTTATACTTGTATTTTTTTATGCTGTATTGTTATTTATTTTTTAATATTTTTGACCCATGGTTGGTTGAATCCGCAGATGTGGAATGCACAGATGTGGAAGCCGGCTGCACTGCTACTAGGGAACCAGTGGAAGAAGTAACTGGTTACCCAATGACCCTTGGTCTAGAACCATTACTGACAGTATAGTAGTCTAGCATCTGTGAGCAAGTGGCTAGCACAGTGGGTGTTAATATACTGAAAAAAAGTTTTAAAGTTATACAATATTTATTAGTATTAGAAGACTAATAGTTCCTAAGTAATCGAGGGAATTCTGAAACACAATTTATATCTTTTTAGGACACATAAAATCATTCCTAATGTTCAGACATTAGGCAGCCAAATAAATCACCAAAGCAACTTAACGAAGATAAAGAACATACAATAGAAGAAAAGGCATCACTAAATATAATGCCCAATTAAAGGATTTTTTTCCCATAAAGATGCAAATAATTCAGAGGAGACATTCCCTTTCTTAGGGCATGAAACCCTCTTAGGAAGAAACAGACTTTCCCCAGAAAGCCATCTACAGCCATCCCAGCATCCACAGACCCAGCATAACGTTCCCTGTGCCCCATTATTTCAGCAAAGAAAACCTTTAGCCCTAAACTCTAACATAACTCTGAAAAGAGAGTAGTGTGTATGTATAAAATGTTTTCTGAGAAAGAATAAACTAGTCTTGCCTAACAACTTAGAAAGTTATAAATTATAATGATTTAAAAGGACCACTTGAGATTTACTTACAGTAAACATTAATTTTTTAAATTTTTTTTTACTTTTTTTTACAGACAGGGTCTTGCTCTGTCACCCAGGCTGGAGTGCAGTGGCACAATCATAGCTCACTGCAGCCTCAAACACCTGGCCTCAAGTGATCCTCCACCTCTGAAAGGTTTGTAGGCGTGTGCTACCACACCCTGCCAGTAAATGTTAATAAAATTACTAAATATACAAATATTCCCAGGATCTGAAAAAAGATTTTATTCACTAGAATGAAAGCCACTGCATTTATTACTATAATAAACTATGGTTTCCTAAACCCAAATTCTTGTTTCAAATGTCATTAAAAACCTAAATTAATAAATAGGAAGAAAGCAAAAATAATAGTAAAGAAAGAAATTCATATCTTACCTCACCAAGATAAATGACAATCTGGAAGAAAGTATCCATCAGCAAAATTCTGTCAGCTAGAATGCTGCTGCTGTCCAAGAGTACCGGCTGAAGAAAAAGGGAGAGAGACGGCGTTGGCCTTCCCTGGTCCTCATATGGTGATCACTCCCACCCCACACCCAGTGTCCACAGCAATGCAGAGGCTGTTTACAAATGGTGCCCGGCACAGTGGCTCGTCCCTCTTCCTGCCATGTACCCACTTTCTGCTCCTGACTCAGCAGTTCTCAGACTCTACTTCACAGAAAAATCAGGATCCAAATATTCCCTCATCAATTGGGAAAGGAGATTAATATCTTTTGATCTAGGAACCAGAAACAATTCCCAATATTCTCAGTTTTGTACTGGACATAGATTTTTATCAACCAGAGTGAGTTTCTCTGAAATCTACTACAGCTGTAGATGAGAAAGAACAGGGATGCCTATATGAAAAATAGCATTTAATACAAGTTTTTCAAGTTGAATACAAAATACATTTTATTATGATTTTTATTCCAATAATAAAATGAACTTGTATTCATTAAAGAAAATTTAAAAATCTGTACCCAAATATAACAAATATTGATAATGAACATTTGCATTGTTATCCATTTTTGTTTTATAACAGTTCATTTACTATTTCTTTGCACAAAGCCTGTTGTTTCTAGCAGTATTTCTTTCAGATACATTATAAGACATGAAATTACTGGATGAAAGCATATGAACACATTAAAAAAAAGTACCCGTGTATTTTTTAAGTTTTTTACATTTATTCCATCTTCCACAAATAATAGCTTTATACGGCTTTGATTTCTTCCTATAGTTTTTAATACTCAGAAATAATGTTAAACTATTATAAAAACTCCAAAGTTTTTTGTTTGTTTTTTTACAGTTTTGCCCTAAGAGTAAATTTGCTAGAAAAAAATATATATGAGGTGATTCCAATTCTCAGAAGAGCATTCAGGTCAAAGCTTACCTCTGGAGGCCCCTGGAAGGAATAGGAGTAGAGAATGGGCTGGATCATGATGAGGGACTGGGTCAGATCTTGCCGGGCAAAATGATGTCTGTAATAGGACGACTCGTCAGGGCTGTTGTTAAACACTTGCAGAAATGGAGATCTTCTAAGATGGAACATGAACTGCATTTACAAAGAAAAAAGGCAAATGCATATAGCTGCAACCTTCGTAGACACCCAGAGAGTAGATCCACTTGGGCCTCTGAAACAGGAGAACCCAGGTTTTAAGGTAGCACCAGGGGCTGGTAGAAGAGGAAAATGAGGAGTTGTTTAATGTGTACAGAGTTTGTTTTGAAAGGTGAAAAATTCTAGAGATCAGTTTACAGCAATGTGAATAGAGTTAACATTACTCACCTGTACACTTAAGAATGGCTAAGATGGTAAATTTTATGTTTTTTGAAAGCTTTAAATATTTTTTTTCCTTCAATAAAAGGGCCTCTGGATCTGTCAAAGCTTCCACATGAAAGGGGAAAGGCAAATAAATGTTTATTCCCACAGTCACTAGGCCAAGCTGTGGCGACAGTATATCTGTTCTCCAAGAAGTCAGGTCCAGTGGGAGAAGGCACACTTGGGTCTTCAAGCTACAAGCCATAGTACAGGAAAGTACTTTGGGGTGGGGGTGGAGGGCCGGCAGGAGACTTCCCAAAGCTATGAGGTCTGAGGGCACACCCTGAGAGACATGCCTGAGGAAGCTAGAGGAATGGGGCAGAATGGGGAGTCCAGGCACAGGGACAATAGACGAGAGCTCAGAACACCGACTGGTAGATTGGAGTAAGGGGTTCAGGGGAGGGAGGGACAAGAGGTAATGCTGGAATGGTACATTTTTCACCCTGAGGATTAGAAGGAAGCAGGGGACAGACTTTTAGCTCACTTTAAAGAGCTGTTAGAACATGAAAATGAGCTGCCTTGAGAAGAATAAAGCTTCCTGAGACTCCAAATATTGAATCACAGGTTCCTAAATAATAACCAAGGCTGACATTCAATACATCTTATGTGCAAGGCACAACGCACTTGACAAGTACTATTTAATCCTTCCAATAAGCCCATGACGTAGGTTTTCTTACAGTCCCTAGTTTATAGGCAAAGAAACTGAGGCACAGAGGGGCAAGCTACTTGTCCAATGTCACCCCACTACTGAGTGGCAGAGCTGGACTCTAATCCAGGCCATCTGGCTCCAGAGACTGGGTTCTTGACCTCTATCCTAGAACACTTTGATGGAAGGAATATTAGAAACCATCTCATTTGGTGGTTTTCAAACTATGCTCTTCAGAGTCTTGGGAAATCCTCAGTGGAGGCTCTAATGGGACTGTGGAGGGTGGTACGTGGGCACAAGCAGAGCAGCACTGTGTCTGTCTGCTTTATGTGCTGGCTTTTGAGGGCGGGTCCTCTTGAAGAAAGGGTTCCACAGCTTTAGGAAGATTGCAAACCACTTCTTCAGACCAACTGCTTCCTTCTAAAGACGAGGAAACTAAAATCTACAGAAGTCCAAGACCTTGTCTAAGATCAGCAGCAGTGGGGCCAGTGCTGAACTCTGCCCTGACTCTGGCCAGTCCAGGGCTCTTCCTATAACACCTCATGGCCTCAACCTCTAGGTCATGGGCACCTGAAAGTCCCAGGCCCCACTGTCAAGCTGGCTCACATTTAAAGCCCTGAATGTGCGCCTGGCACCACACTAAATATTTAATACTCAATTGGCCCCAGCTCCTGTAATCCTCACAACCACTCACTGAGCTAAGCTCTATTTCCTCATCTGCAGATGAGGATGGAGATTCAGAAAAGGCAGAAACACAGATTCATGACAGTGGCTTCCTGCTCCATCTCCTTCTCTCCCTCCTTTCTTTTACCCAGTGGCTCCCAAACACTTGGCTCATGTATAATGCAGTTACCTTCAGGAGCTGGTTCTTGTCAATGCCTGGTTATGTGCAGCACAATAAAAACAGACATATTATTAAATATTTGTCATATTAATAGTGGTTTTGTTACATCCACCTTCATGTGTGCTCATTTTTTTTTTGGTTTGTTACTGAGACAGCTGATTGTTCACCCAGAACCTCTACATATTAGAGGTTTTGTTGTGGCCCTATACCAATGATCCTATTTTGCCTTTTCGTGAAAAAGTTTTGCACTTATTTTCTCCTCTCTGCATGTCATCTTTGTCTTTTGTAGGGCTTAGGGTACTGTCTTGCAGAAACACTACTGTCTTGAGTTGAACAACCTTTATCAACTACAGACTGAATCTCAAAACACAAAAAGTCTTCACTTTACCCTGAGAACAGAGAAGTTTATTTCTATCACAATCAGTTGTTCTATAGTTATTTATATATATATATTACTTATTACTTATACACATAAGTAATATGTATTATATATATTACTTATAATACTTATATATTACTTAATTATTATATAATACTTATATATTACTTATATATATATTGCTTTTATATATATATATATTACTTAAAATATATATTACTTACCTGAGGATATAGAGAAAAGGAATCTGATAACCTAAAAGAAGTGGGGTCTTCTTTGTTATACTGTCCAAACTTCTGACACTGATGAAAGGAAATACCAAAAAGAGAGAAAAACCTAAATTAGTGTTACCTGAAAAAACCCTTGGACTAAGAGCTAAGTTCCGATCTTAACTCTGCCCCTTACTGTGAGTCCTGCACTTCTCAAGCATCAAAGGGCAGACAGATCACCAGGGGGTCTTGTTAAAATGCAGGCTCTAGGGAAGAGTTGAAGATTCTATATCTCTAACCAGTTCCTAGGCAATGCTGACCTGAGGACCACCCTAACCACAGAGAAGCCTGATAAGCTCTCTCAGGCTCCTCTTCCACGTGAAAACCCTCTGAGACTATGAAAACTAGCAATTATAGACAGACCTGATATACATTCACACTATAGCTCAAATTTCTTCCTCCTTTCAATGGCATGTTTCTGAACCACGTTTCTTCCTGCCTTTATTTCTGATCACACATTTCCTCCAACCACTAGAGAACTAGGCTGTCCATCATTTAAAGAAATCCCACCTCTAACAATTACCTTGTCCCAACCAAATCTGGCATCCTTTCACAGTTGTCATCTTATTGAACTTCCTAGCAGCGGGAGTCAAGTGACCTCCTAAACTTCTTGAAACTTTCTCCTTCAGCTGCTGAAATATCACCTTCCTGTTTCTTATCATCTCTTCACCCAACCCTCCTCTGACTTCTTCAGTGGCTCCTTGTCTTCCTCCATCTTCCTAATCGGGGACTCCTCTGAGGTTAGTTCTTGGCCCTCTGCTTCCACCCTCACTGCTCAGCTACAAATGAACACCCAAGCCAGATGCATGTCATCCAGATTCCTCCCCCAGGCCCAGTTCTGACCTCTAGCCTAAGCTCCAGTTGGGACTTTCACCCAAATACAAGACAGCTTTCCCTGGACATACTTTTGCAAGTGCACATTCAACTATCAAAAGTAAACTATTTAAAAAAAAATGATTCACCTTCTCCTATCCTAAATTTGAGCTCCTTTCCCATTTTCTACCTCACCATCATTCTTATAGTCACCCACATGGGAAATGTTTCTTTGCTTTTTGGTTTTTGATTCTACATAAAATCAGAAATTCTACATAGAAACAAACCTTCTGCTCCCCACATGTCTATTGCCACCACCCTGGTCTCAGTGCCCTTGTACCTGCAAAATCCTCCATCACAACAGGAGCCTTTTCTCCCTGCAATGTGCCTTTTATGGTGATGTCAATGTGAACACAGTGTCATGTTGATGTCACATCCTGCTTAAGAATCACCCCTAAGTCTCCTTCTTAGGGATAAAGTTAAGGTGTTCCCAATCAAGGTGTATCTTCACTGCCTCTGTTCCTCACCAGAGGAACCTGGCCTCTGTGACAGTGGTCTCTCCAATGTCCCCAGCATAAGTTGAAAGGCCTGGCTACCTCCCACAGGCCTGTTCCTACCAGGCCTCCACTCAGTAAGCTTTGCCTTCTCCTCCCCTATCATCTGACTCTTTATCAGTAGAGCTGATTCGAGGCTGCCTTCCCACATGAAGCCTTTGTTAACCACTTGGACCCTCTGCTTGACTATCCTCCCTGTGAAATCCTAAAGGAACAATTTTCAAATTGTGTTTGAAATGACACTTCCTGGAAAATGGTTCCATGAGATGGCAATGGCAAATGCAGAGCTAAGCAAGTTAAACAGGTTTCCTTGCCAGGCCCTTCAGTGCCTTTGATCACAGGTTCATGCTGTGAATCTCCAGAAAGGTAAGATTATGTAGTGTGCCAATCACTGATTTACTGGTTAGTGGCTCCCAATTCACCCCTTCTGCCTGCTGTAGAATGGATATGGGCCCTTTAACTGCTTCTCCTTTACCAGTTGGCATGATGTCAAGCTTTGTCAGTAGAGGGCGCTGGAGGCCAGCATAAGCTTTGGGAGCCAGTGTGCTCACTGGGCAGCTTCCCTAGTGCCAGGTCCTGCAGCAACACCGCTGGGGACGCTGTGTCCCCAGTGCTGAGCTCCTGGAGCACAGGGCAGCCAGCAGCCACCCCAGCACTCCCCTGAGCTTCTGCTGAGACACTTTCCTGTGAACAGTTTTCCCCAGTACCTAGGCGGGTGCAAAATTCTAGAAAGTGAATTTCTAGCAAATTCCTCTGGCACACCACCATGGCAAATCTCTACGAAAGATTCACCGACCCATGGCCATGCCCTTCAAACTAGGTCTAGATCAGCCCTGGGGAGAGGTGTCTTCCTTGAGTGCTCTATCTCAGCCCTACAAGTAGTGGCTGCCCCTTAGATCTGCTAGTTCTCTTTACTTCCTACTAGTCAATCCTTCATTGTTTTACTCCCCTGTTGTAGTAGTAATTCTTTATATAAGACCTTCCCTATTTAAATTACTATGTGATTTCTCTCTCCCCATTGGACCCAGACTGATAAGAGGCATCTTTCTAAACTCACTGGCCATCTCTATATCCAAAACAATCTCCCAGATCTGGAGGGAAAATATAGGACCACAGCCTTTGCAAAATGACTCATCTAATTCAACTCTTAACACAGATATGCATCTCTCCAAATGTTCTATGTGTGTTGTTCTTCCCAACAATAATGTAAACCCGAGGGGGAAAAATGCATATTTAACAACTTCTTCCATGTCACTCAGATATGTCTTGCACAAGATAAGCAACTGATAAATTCTTGCTGACTGGCTATATAAAACAATAGGCTTAAGTGACAATTTTCTCCTCTCAAAAGTAGAGCAGAGACCAAGACTGAATCTAATGCCATTGTTCCCAATTTACCAGTCGGATGAGTTGTCGGTCCAGCCACCGGAGCACGTCGGGCCCCTCTTCTGACTCCGCTCGGAATACTCCCAGCCGTGCCATCAAGACCGCTGCAGCTTCCTGGTCAAATGCTGCTTCTATGTGCCTGAGCTGACTCTGCGCATCTGCCCAACTGACAAGTCCAGAGTTAGTGCCATGTTTAAGTTCTGGAGAGATCAGAACACCAGGCATCATTTTGATAAAGAAACATAAATCCTGTTCCTTCATCTAAGATGACACAAACTTGAATGTCATTTTCCATAAGGAATCGCAGGAGTTTTACATACATTTCAGTTACCCTTATGTGATCTCTGAAGGCTGTAACTTTAAAAGAAAAATTAAAGAGAACGTCCCCATGTTCTGCAATACATCACAAAAGTAGATACCCAAAAGGTACTGAGTCTCAATCCAGTGTTCCTTCTTCTAGGTCAATCTTGAAAATATATAAATGTTTACAAATTCACAAAATGACTTTCCAGAGTCACATCCATGGGAAAAAGAATTAGCACATATACAGAAGTTTTCCAGATGAATAAAGACATCATGAACAAAGCCAAAAGACAACAGATAGACCAATAACAGACATGTGCAACAAATATAACAATAATCATATCCAAAATAAAGAGTCTTTGCAAATCACTGAATAAGAAAAAAATAGGTTTTACAAAATGGGCAAAGGATATCACAGAAGAAATATAGTATGGATAAGAAATATGAAAAAGTACTCAATTCATTGATAAGTGGAAAAATACAAATGAAAGTGACATATTGCATGTTCTCTATATATATATCTACAGGCCTCCAAATATATCTATTTGCTCCCTTAAACTATGGGGCAAAGTACAAATTAGGTTCCCAGGACAAAGTTTTTCAGTATCTAAAATTTCACTTCTACAAAGTGGCTAGAAAGAAATACTGATGTGCACAAAGACCTGAAAATATCAATGCAGCACCACTGAAAAGCAAGACCTTCAACAGAGGAGTGGTCTAACCCATCTAAACCATATGATACTATGTAACCATCAAAATTAATGAGATACAGGCTTGCAAATTGAAAATATGCAAAGATAGATAGGCAGGTGCAGTGGCTCACGCCTGTAATCCTAGCACTCTGGGAGGCCGAGGTGGGAGGATCGCTCGGGGTCAAGAGTTCTAGACCAGCCTGAGCAAGAGTGAGACCCCCATCTCTACTAAAAATAGAAAGAAATTAATTGACCAACTAAAAAAATATACATATACAAAAAACTAGCCGGGCATGGTGGCGCATGCCTGTAGTCCCAGCTATTCAGGAGGCTGAGGCAGTAGGATCCCTTGAGCCCAGGAGATTGAGGTTGCTGTGAGCTAGGCTGACGCCATGGCACTCACTCTAGCCTGGGCAACAAAGTAAGACTCTGTCTCAAAAAAATAAATAAATAAAATAAAAAAGAATTTTAAAAATATTTTTAAAAAAGATAAAGATATAGAGAAAAGATATGTAAATATCATAAGTTGTAGTACACGTATATAATAAACATATATGGTACATAAGTTGACAGAATGGGGTGAAGTTAAATGCCAGTAACAGCATTTCCCTATGCGGAGGATGAGTGAACAGAGCTGTTTATATACAGTTGGCACTCAGTATCCATGGGTTCTGCATCAGCAGATTCAAGCAACCACAGACCAAAACTGTAATCAGGCCTACTGGTTGTATCTGTACTAAACATGTAGAGGCTTTTTTGTCATAATTCTCTAAACAATAGAGTAAAACAACTATTTATATAGCATTTACATTGTATTAAGTAGTAATCTAGAGATAATTTAAAGTATATGGGAGGATGTATATAGGTTATACGCAAATAATACACCATTTTATGTAAGAGACTTGAGTACTACCCATGGATTTAGTTATCCACAGGGGTCCTGGAATCAATCCCTCACGCATACCAAGGGATGACTGTACTTATGTGCTGCTTAAACCTTTATGAGGAGAATGTATTTATAGGCTACTTATCTAATAAAATAATAAAAAATAATTTTTAAGAAACTATTTTCATACAGAAAGATGATTCCTTTAGATAAGTGTTTATAGGCCAAACTAGGTTAACCAGGAATGCCGCCTCCTCCTCTTCTTCCTCAGATTAAAGAAGCCAGTGAGGCCGGGCGCTGTGGCTCACGCCTGTAATCCTAGCTCTTGGGAGGCCGAGGCGGGCGGATTGCTCAAGGTCAGGAGTTCAAAACCAGCCTGAGCAAGAGCGAGACCCCGTCTCTACTATAAATAGAAAGAAATTAATTGGCCAACTGATATATATATAAAAAATTAGCCGGGCATGGTGGCGCATGCCTGTAGTCCCAGCTACCCGGGAGGCTGAGGCAGAAGGATCACTCGAGCCCAGGAGTTTGAGGTTGCTGTGAGCTAGGCTGACGCCACGGCACTCACTCTAGCCTGGGCAACAAAGTGAGACTCTGTCTCAAAAAAAAAAAAAAAAAAAAAGAAGCCAGTGAGGACTGTTCAGAACCACTCAATGAATCAAAAAGACAAACTAAGAGATCTTAAAATATCTCTTCAGCCGGGCACGGTGGCTCACGCCTGTAATCCTAGCACTCTGGGAGGCTGAGGCGGGCGGATTGCTCAAGGTCAGGAGTTCGAAACCAGCCTGAGCGAGACCCCGTCTCTACCAAAAAAAATAGAAAGAAATTAATTGACCAACTAAAAATATATATAGAAAAAATTAGCCGGGCATGGTGGCGCATGCCTGTAGTCCCAGCTACTCGGGAGGCTGAGGCAGTAGGATTGCTGAGCCCAGGAGTTTGAGGTTGCTGTGAGCTAGGCTGATGCCACGGCACTCACTCTAGCCTGGGCAACAAAGTGAGACTCTGTCTCAAAAAAAAAAAAAAAAATTTCTTCAGAGGAACAGTCAGTGGCTCCACAGAGAAGAGACTGGGGCTGCTTACTTTCGGGCAATGGTGGTCACACGGATGCGTCTCTGGGTGCTGGAGTGTTGATACTGTGTGACAAACTGGATGGCACCTCTGCCTCCTTGGGGGATTGGAGCGTTGTGCTGTGGGGTGAGAGGCCATAACCTCGTTACTGTTACAGGCATGATTCAAATACAAACAGAGCCCATCATGCTCTTCTAAAACAACTGATAGCAATAACAGTAATGAATTTTGATAGGTATACTTAGTATCTGCACATTTCACTGTATATAACTTTTATCTCAAAACAAAGAAGAGCCACATTCAATACTGAACTCAAGTTAATGATATATATGTTGAAGTGTTTAGGGATGAAATACACTGATGACTGTGATTTGCTACGAAATGCATCAAAAATAAAATGGATTAATGGATCAATATATATGTAACAAAGCAAATGGAGGCATACCTCATTTAATTGCACTTCACAGATACAGTGAAGGTTTGCATCAAGCAAGTCTATTGCCTACTGGCGCCATTTTTCCAACAGCACGCGCTTGCTTCATGTCTGTATCACTTTTTAGTTATTCTTGCAATAATTCAAACATTTTCATTATTATTGTATCTGTTATGGTGATCAGTGATCTTTGATGCTAATTGTTTTGGGGTGCCACAAACTATGTCCATATAAGATAGTGAACTTATTCAACAAATATTATGTGTGTTCTGACCATTCTACTAACTGGCCATTACCACATCTCTATCCCTCTCCTTCGGCCTTCCCTATTCCCTGAGACAAAACAAGTTTGAAATTAGGCCAATTAATACTTTAAAATGGCCTCTAAGTAGTCAAGTGAAAGAAGAGTATATACTTTATATTAAAATTAAAAATGATCAAGCTTACTGAGGAAGCACATTGAAAGTTGAGACAGGCTGAAAGCTAGGCCTCTGGCGCCAAACAGCCAAGTGGTGAATGCAAAGGGAAAGTTCTTGAAGAAAATTAAAGTGTGACTTCAGTGAACACACTAACGGTAAGAAAGCCAAACAGCCTTATTGCTGATATGGAGAAAGTTTTAGTGGTCTGGATAGAAAATCAAACCAGATACAACATTCTCTGAAGCCAAAGTCTAACCCAGAGCAAGGCCCTAATTCTCTTTAATTCTAGGAAGGCTGACGGAGGAAGCTACAAAAAGAAAAGTCTGAAGCTGGCAGAGGTTAGTTCATTGGGTTTAAGAAAAGAAGCCATCTCCATAACAGAAAAGTACAAGGTGAAGCAGCAAGTGCTGATGTAGAAGCTATAGCAACTTACCCAGAAGATCTAACTAAGGTCATTGATGAAGATGGCTACACTTACACAACAGATATTCAGTGTAGATGAAACAATCTTCTATTGGAAGAAGGTGCCATTTAGGACTTTTCTAGCTAGAGGGACAAGTCAATGCCTGGACGCCTGGCTTCAAAGCTTCAAAGAACAAACTGATTCTCTTCTTAGGGGCCAATGCTCATTTACCATTCTGAATATCCTAGGACCCTTAAAAATTATGCTAAATCTATTCTGCATGTATTCTATAAATCCAACAACAAAGCCTAGATGACAGCACATCTGTTAACAGCATAGTTTACTGAATATTTTAAGCCCACTGTTGAAATCTACTGCTCAGAAAAATACTCCTTTCAAAATATTACTGCTCACTGACAAGGCATCTGGTGACATCACCTGGTGACATCAAGAGATCTATAAGATTAATGTTGTTTTCATGCTTGCTAACACAATGTCCATTCTGCAGCCCATGGATCAAGGAGGAATTTCAAATTTAACTCTTATTATTTAAGGAATACATTTCGTAAGGCTATAGCTGCCATAGATAGCAATTCCTCTGATGGATCTAGGCAAAGTAAATTGAAAACCTTCTGGAAATGATTTACTATTTTAGATGCTATTAAGAACACTTGTGAGGCCGGACGCGGTGGCTCACGCCTGTAATCCTAGCTCTCTGGGAGGCCGAGGCGGGCGGATTGCTCGAGGTCAGGAGTTCGAAACCAGCCTGAGCAAGAGCGAGACCCCGTCTCTACTATAAATAGAAAGAAATTAATTGGCCAACTAATATATATAGAAAAAATTAGCCGGGCATGGTGGCACATGCCTGTAGTCCCAGCTACTTGGGAGGCTGAGGCAGACGGATTGCTTGAGCCAGGAGTTTGAGGTTGCTGTGAGCTAGGCTGACGCCACGGCACTCACTCTAGCCTAGGCAACAAAGTGAGACTCTGTCTCAAAAAAAAAAAAAAAAAGAAGATTTGTGATTTGTGGGAGGAAGTCAAAATATCAACATTCACAGGCACTTGGAAGAAGCTGATTCCAACCCTTATGGACGACTTTGAGGGGTTTAAGACTATAATAGAAGAAGTCACTGCAGATGTGGTGGAAATAACAAGAGAACTAGAATTAGAAGTGGAGCCTGAAGATGTGACTGGATTGCTGCAATCTCATGATAAAACTTGAATGGATGAGGAGTTGCTTCTTCTGTATGAATAAAGTAAGTAATTTCTTGGGGGAAGGGGGGCATGGGCAATATATGTAACCTTAACACTTGTACCCCCATAATATGCTAAAATTAAAAAAAAAAGTAATTTCTTGAGATGGAATCTATTCCATATGAGGGATGCTGTGGACATTGTTGAAATGACATGAAAGGAGATTTAAAATACTACATAAACTTAGTTGATAAAGCAGAGGCAGGGTTTGAGAGGACTGACCCTAATTTTGAAAGAAGTCTAAGTAAAATGCTATCACACATCATCTCATGCTACAGAGAAATCTTTTATGAAGGCAAGAGTCAACTGATGTGGCAAACTTCATTGTTGTCTTATTTTAAGAAATTGCCACAGCCCCTCCCACCTGATCCTGATCAGTCAGTGGCCATCAACATCAAGCTTCACCAGTAAAAAGATTATGACTTGGTGAAGGATCAGATGATCGTTAGCATTTCTTAGCAATACAGTTGACTCATAAACAACACAGGTTTGAACTGCACAGGTCCACTTATATGTAAATTTTCTTCTGTCTCTGCCACCCCTGAGACAGCAAGACCAACCCCCCTCATCCTCAGCCTACTCAATATGAACACAATGAAGCTTATGACCTTTAACATCCACTACCACTTAATGAACAGTAATATATTTTCACTTCCTTATGCTTTTCTTTTTTTTTTTTTTTGAGACAGAGTCTCACTTTGTTGCCCAGGCTAGAGTGAGTGCCATGGCTTCAGCCTGGCTCACAGCAACCTCAACCTCAAACTCCTGGGGTCCTTCTGCCTTAGCCTCCTGAGTAGCTAGGACTACAGGCATGCGCCACCATGCCCAGCTAATTTTTTTTTCTATATATATTAGTTGGCCAATTAATTTCTTTCTGTTTACAGTAGAGACGGGGTCTCACTCTTGCTCAGGCTGGTTTCAAACTCCTGACCTCGAGCAATCCACCCTCCTCAGCCTCCCAGAGTGCTAGGATTACAGGCGTGAGCCACCACACCTGGCCTCTTATGATTTTCTTAATAACATTTTCTTTCTTCTAATTTACTTAATTGTAACAGTACAGTATAAAATACATATAACATACAAAATATGTGTTAATCAATTTTTATGTGCTTAGTAAGGCTTCTAGTCAACAGTAGTAGGCTATCTCTAGTTATATTTTGGGGGGGTTAAAGTTATGTGTGAATTTTTAACTGTGTGGGGGTTCAGTGCCCCTAACACCTGAGTTGTTCAAGGGTCAACTATAAAGTATTTTTTAATTAAAGTATGTACATTTTTTTACCCATGATGCCATAGCACACTTAATATACTATAGTTATAAACATTAAACATAACTTTTATATGCACTGGGAATCCAAAAATCTCATGTGACTTGCTTTATTGTGGTGGTCTGGAACTGAACCCCAATATCTATCAAGTAAGTATGCCTATAACAGTAAATGTCAATTATAGAATTTAGGTGACAGGCAGTGGGTATATGTGGGTGTTCACTGTATGATTCTTCCAATTTTTCTGTATGTTTGTAATTTTTCATAATAAAATACTGGGAAAAGAACTGACATTCAAATATTTACCAACATTAGGATAAATGATAAAAGCCAATATTCTTCTAATGACCCTATTAGTTCAACAATAAAGGAACAAAAGCATTTTCTGTATGACTCTGACTGAATCCTGGAAGGAATAAAAACAGATCATGCCAGACTAGCACTGGGCCTAAAACACCACTGTATCAGTTTGTGGAAAAAGTAACCAGACACACTGGTTTTAATAAATCAGAAAATAGGACACTAAGACACGAAGACATGTGAGAAATCCCACTCACCTGATTGACTACTTCAAAGTAAATGCCAAGTGTAGATGTGGGATCCAGGCCACAGATTTTCCACTGACTTGTGCCACCAACACCAAGCTCCTATGAGTGAGAAGAGGAATTGAAAAAACCAAAACAAAACCACTCCATGGTTCACTGTTTATGAAAAGTGCTAACTGGGTAGGTCAGGTCACTTAGAATATCTTCTTCTAGATGAAAATTTTAGTTTAATTGAAAATTTTCTACTAAAAAAAGTATAATTATGGACCAGGAGAAGGCTTAACATTTACATTTACAGTAACTTAAGGTTTTCATACTGGCACTCTGACCAACTTCCATTACATCATATATATTATGCAACATATACGGTAATAACACTGAAGTTAACAAGGAATCAAGTCAGGGTTGAGGAAGCAGTAAACCGTAGGAGGAAGAATTATCTACTTAGCGTGAAAATTTTATGTATTTTTTTTTTTTAACAGAAGTTCACCATGGAATTATGTATTTTTTTAATCATCATTTTTAGAACAAGAAACAAAAAGTTGTAGAACATTAGCTATAAGATATGAATTTTTTTGTTTGTTTGTTTGTTTTTTTTTGAGACAGAGTCTCGCTTTGTTGCCCAGGCTAGAGTGAGTGCCGTGGCGTCAGCCTAGCTCACAGCAACCTCAAACTCCTGGGCTCGAGTGATCCTTCTGCCTCAGCCTCCCGGGTAGCTGGGACTACAGGCATGCGCCACCATGCCCGGCTAATTTTTTATATATATATCAGTTGGCCAATTAATTTCTTTCTATTTATAGTAGAGACGGGGTCTCGCTCTTGCTCAGGCTGGTTTTGAACTCCTGACCTTGAGCAATCTGCCCGCCTCGGCCTCCCAAGAGCTAGGATTACAGGCGTGAGCCACAGCGCCCGGCCAAGATATGAATTTTTAATCCATTTTTTAATGCAAAAAGCTATATATAAATTCTCAGTAAGAGAATTGAGATTATAGTAGTATGAAGGGTGCTTTTTACTGATTAGCACCATGGCTCCAAGTGATAAATATGAGATTCATTAAATGTGATGCTGAATATCACTGTTTTAATCATGACATGTAGAAGAAAAGGCCACAAATGTCAAAAATACTGAGATCACTAGATTCTGAAACCTATATTCTATCATTCTATAGGCGCTGAGTACTACACATGCTAACACACCCTTATCAAACTGTGGAATACTGTGCGTTAAGAGTCATGATACTTCTATATTACTCTGAATCCACCCATACTGCACACTGTCAGCTGAGTATAGCTGATGCCAGTCTGGTCTCTCTACAAAGCCATGTCAGAAGCCTATGTAACTGGCCACAGAACAAGCAATCTCAGGAAGGTGACAGTCAGAGGGAAGACTCTTACATGAAATAACACAGCAACTTTAAGGTGGAGACCAGGAAGGGTGCACTCTGTTCCCTCAGTACTTCCTAAGCTAGATCATGAGATGGATGGATGTATGGGAGTTCACCTTTTCTTTTAGTAGCCTTTTCTAAAAGAGGCAGGGGTTTATCAACTGCTAGAAGGTAAAGCACTGCGCCCAGGAGAAATGGCAAAGAATCAAAGGAGTTTTTGTGCTTCCCCTTCTTGCCTCACTAACCCTTCTCTAGGCACCAGACCCAGTGTGGCCACAAACCCTCCAGAGCTCCAAAACAACATTATTTCACCAATACACAAAACCCTTATTTAAGCATTTAGCCTTTAAATGTCTTTATTGGAGCAACTATAAAGACAGAATTAGGAAATCACCATTTTATAAATTCTAAAGAGATAAATCGATTCAAGTAAGATTAGGCTAGTGGCAAACAAGATCTTCATATTGTACTATTAAATACAATCTCATTCAACAGATTTCTTGCTAGTGGCAAATGGAAAACAGGCCCTTACAATGGAAAGACACAGGGCGGTCACCACTTTCACCATGCAATCTAACTCACTAACAGAGGACCAGCGGACATAGGTGCCCCTGGACGTAACACAGAACAAAGTACACACCACCCAGAAGTATGGTTGGCAAAAAGGCTTAACCTGAATCTAATCACCCTTTAATCCTAACTTCCATTTTACAAGAAATACAGGGAGGAAAGAAACAAGTTAACCACCACCTTGAGGGGATAATCATTGAGAATGTGGGATCTTCTATTAGAGATGGTACTGTCTCTTTAACCTGGCACTGTCTCTTTAACAAATTAATGTCATTTAACTTTTTAAAAAGCAAATAAATAAATAAACAAACAAACGAATGAATAAAAAGATAGGAACTGTATTCTAGATATTTTTAAACAAACTAAGGATATATAATACCAAATGCAAAGCTAGCTGGGGGTTAAAACAGCTACAAAGGGCCAGGTGCGGTGGCTCACGCCTATAATCCTAGCACTTTGGGAGGCTGAGGCGGGCGGATTGCTCAAGGTCAGGAGTTTGAAACCAGCCTGAGCAAGAGCGAGACCCTGTCTCTACTATAAATAGAAAGAAATTAATTGGCCAACTAATATATGTAGAAAAAAAAAATTAGCCGGGCATGGTGGCGCATGCCTGTAGTCCCAGCTACTCAGGAGGCTGAGGCAGGAGGATTGCTTGAGCCCAGGAGTTTGAGGTTGCTGTGAGCTAGGCTGACACCATGGCACTCACTCTAGCCTGGGCAACAAAATGAGACCCTGTCTTAAAAAAAATAAATAAAAAACAGCTACAAAGGGCAGTTGGGGGAAAATCAGGAATAAGGGGATAAGATATTAGGGAATTATTGTTAATTTTCTTAGGTTTGATAATGATATCATGGTAGAACATCCTTATTTTTTGAAAGTGTACATTGAAGCACTTAAGGACTAAGTGTCATAATATCTGCAAGCTATTTTTAAAGGCCTGCAAAAAAAAGCTGATAAAGCAAACATGGCAAATAGCTGATAATCAGACAGATCAAGCAAATGTGGCAAAAAAGATGACACAGAAGTTATGGCAAAATGTTAACAATTACTGACTCTAAACGTAGGTATACAGGGATTCATCATACCCTTCTTCCATACGCCCCCATCATGACTTGGGCCTCCCACAAGAAACACTGGGGAGTGGTTTTTCTGTATGCCACATTTCACTTATACCCTTCTTTAAACTTCTCTGTATGCTTGAAAACTGTATTTTCCTCCTCTTTGCATCCTCATTCTCCAATCAAAACTTTCATGGCTGAACTCTACTGGAACAGCTAATCTATTTGTACTAATTCATAAAAATATCTTCTTAAACTGCTTTCATTGGGCATATTTTAAGTTGGTGGAAATTATTTTAGAACAGGGCAGCCTTCCAAAGCCCTGCCAGGAAATAGGAGTCCAAGCCCCTCAGCACTCAGAGGAGCTTTCAGGCAGCAACCTGTCTCATCCAGGGGACTACAGGAATGTTCTCTCAAATCACCTTGCCTCTGCCAAGCTTGACAAAAGTTTAATCTGTGTAGTCACTCAGGAACGTTCGTCGCTAACAATGACAAAGATGATGATGTGAAAGACAACATCTCCTATGGGCTTCCAGTGTGCCAGGCACTGTCCTAATTGCTTCATTTGAACTCATTTAATCCTCCTATCAATGATGTAAAGTAGGTACTATTATCCCCATTTGCCTGATAAAGACATTGAAGCACAGAGCAAGTAAGTACTTTTCCTGTGCTAGGTAAAGTGTAGAGTTGTACCTTGAATCCACAAGTGGCTCTACAGTCCACCCTCCCACTGATGATAACAATGAGGGAAGGACATAACTGAGTAACTGTAGCCCAGGACCAGCCTGGAGAGGCCTCACCAACCCAAATGGTATGGTTTGCCTCTTGGCAGCTAAAGTATAATCAGAGGAAGTGGGCCACTGGCAAAGCCACTCATCCCAAGTGATAACTAAACTTTGTTTACATACTCTTAAAATCTATTACTAGAGAACACAGATATCTGCATACACAACAGTGTCATCTGCTGCCAGATCAACTCATGGTGGTCTCTGCTGTATAAGGCTTGTTATTTAGCTGAGAGTGAGACAAAGGTATCACCTCTCAGGACAATGAGCACATAGATTTATTCCTGAAGGATTGTGCTGAATGTTTGTTTGCCTTTTGAGGCACAGAATTCCTTATGGCTTTGGCACGGTAACCCAAGCACGGGTGGAGGCAGGGGGACCTGGACTCTAGTTCCTCCATGCTAGCTCTGACCCTGAGCAAGATACTTAACCTTTCTGAGCCTCAGTCTCCTTCTCTCTCACCCTTTAGGTAGATGGATGAAGATGGAAATAACACCACTTCTCAGTTATAGTTGTCAATGAGGGTTAGCTCTTCTCCTCTTACCCCCCACCCACCCAATGGATGACACAAGGCAAGATTATCATGCTCCAACACTTCAAACGGGTTAAATCTGGGACAGGATGTGAGGGTGATGAAGTTGTTTTCCTTACATTTTCTGACACACATGGTCCTTTCACATTCAGAGATACACATGGACCAATGGCTCCCGCAATCTTCAGTTCCCGAGAGGTCTAAAACAAATATGTAAAAGTATAATGAAGTTAGAAATCACTGAAATCCACCCTGCTCTCATTATGGTAACAAGGCAAGTACAGAGAAAAAATATGGAAATATTATCATTCTGCTAAGAGAAAACTCCACATGGATCACAACTACTCTCCTACAAGCTTTTCCAGGGCCAATGTCAACTGATTACAACTTTAATAAAATCTGCCCTTAGAAACTACATCATCTTTGGAACAGAATGTTTTCAACTCTCTCAACTCACTGTTTATACTTTAAAACCACTGTACACATAGAAGATAACAATTCTACCAACAACACTAGACCAGGCACAGTAGCACATGCCTATAATCCCAGCTACTAGAGAGGCTGAGGTGGGAGGATTATTTAAAGCCAAGAGTTCAAGACTAGCCTGGGCAACATAACAAGACCCCATCTCTAAAAAATAATTACCCAAGTGTGGTGGCAGATGCCTCTAGTCCCAGCTACTCAGGAGACTGAGGTGGGAAGTTCTCTAAGCATAGGAGTTTTAGGCAACAGTGAGCTATGGTAATGCCATTACATTTCAGCCTGAGTGACTAAGTGAGACCCTGTTTTTAAAAATAGTAAAATGCCCATTCCTTGTCATCTTTTTTTAAAAAAAATCTCAACCATATGAGAATGTTATTTAAAGATTTAAAGTTTAACCTAGATAATTTACTTATTATCTCCAATTCTCCAAATAATGATTCCAATCATATCCTCTAACGGCCCCTTTTTAATGTTTGTTCAATGACTTAGAATGAACTGTATGGGGCTTTGAGTTCCTACATGGAAAAGCCAAAACCCACAATGCTGTCTATTTCAGGGAGCTCTGGCTATTATTCAGGTAGGCACTAAACATTAGCATAACCACAGCTCTGTGTGATCCAATGAGCCATACTGATGGCTGGGTGGACACTGACCACTGTGTGGCTACCCCTGTCCTCTGGCCATGGTGCTTCTCCTAACATTCAACCCTTCTCCCCTTCTACCTCCCGCCATCCTATACCAGTAGGATGAAGCAAAGCCTCCAGGGGAGCCAGGCAACTCTTTGTTTAGAACATGAATAAATGTTCAAGTCACTCTTAAGAAGCAAAAGGCATGAAGTGAACAATGTACTTTGTGATAGCCATTTTGTTGGAATCCTCTTAACTGATTTTTAGATGCCTATCTCCAGCAGGCTGAGGTTGACTGAAGTCTGACTACTGAATAAGAACACTATAATTCCATTAAAGTTTTAAAAGTCTATTGTACCTTTACTTCCAAAGTAGCACCAAAAGCCATTCGAAAATCTCCATTAAAATCTTTACTAAAAATCCTTTGGAATGTCTGCTTGAAGAGAGAAGTGTTGAAAGAATCTCCCATTACCATGTGGCCTCAGAGAGAATAGCAGAGGCAGTAATTAACAGAGCTGAGATGTGGAAGATTGTCTCTGAAAGAACTTTTGCTGACCATGATGCATGGCCTCAGCAAAGTACTGCCACTCCGAGCAGCCTGTCTCTGAGCTACCACAATTAACAGCCCGTATCCAAGAGTACCTACCTTAATTGCCTTTTTCATGAAACGTGCATTATCTTTCTCAATATCATGCCAGGAACGAATAGGAATCTTAATTCATCTCAACCACCATGCCAGGCCCTTGGGTAGGGGGACCTCCAGTAACAGCATGATCCTGCCTCCCGTATTTGGAAAAGTGCCCTAAAATAGTGAATAGCAGCATTTTAAAGGTAACACCCTACCTCCAATTATGGCTTTATTTCCCATAGAAATACTCCAAAGATGGATTCTCTTCAGCTGTTCTTAACACTGGTGATGCTGCAGAATAGTACAGATGATAATGCAGAAAAGCAGCACTTATCTTCCTCCAACCTGGTTTGTACACTTTTATTAATTGGCTGTGAGCACTTCCCATTGCTCTAATTCTCTTATGTTTTTCACAGATACTTGACTTAGGTCACAAATGATTTTCAAACAAAGTCAACAAATATATTTTCTGAGAGCAAGTCTGCATGATTCGAGAGGCCCTGGTAAATTCGGAATTACCTCCAACAAGCCAACAGCAATGGATAAAGCAACACCAGTGGATCGCAAAGGTCTCTTCCCCTGAGTTACTGGCCATGGTCCCTCTGCAGCTCCCAAGAAGATCAGTGAGGTTCATATCAATCTTGTGAATGGGCTGCAGAAATCTGCATGATATTAACAAGCACATCAATCCTGGTTTAATAAAGTACTCTGGTATTCAATCCTAGGTGACATATAGTTACTGCTCTTTAAAGTAATTACTGAGAGTAGAAAAAACTTGCAATTTTTTCTTCAAAGCTATTTCAACTACAAACACAAAACAATTTAAAGCAATTTTATCGACAAACATAATTAAAGCCTAATACTTAGCAATTTACAAATGCAGCATAAAAAATTCAACTTGAAAAGAGCAAATCAAATCAGTTTAATTAAATTTAAGCAGCAATGAAATCCTAAGGACATGCCTAACGTGAATTCAGTCCAAGCAAGGTCCATTTATGTAGATGATGTTCATTATTCTAATGGTTAGTTTGTATTTTTCTTGAGCCTTAAGAATAATACAGAAAGAAACACTCTGGTTTCTTACCAGAGTAAGAGGTTGTCCTAGCATGTCAGGCAATGCATTTTATTGAGTTTACTGGCTGTTAACTTGGCTGGGGCACCCCAGGCACTCAATGGGATGAGTGAAGTGAGTACCTGCTAATAGTGTTTTGAGGGCACCCAAAAGAAGCCTTTTTGTTCTTCCAGTTTTACTTAAAGATCAAAAAGGACAAAACAGCCATGTCCAAAGGAGGGAATGATTGAGTATAATGTTCAAAACTTTTTGATAAAACATTAAGTATTGGTTAGTTTAATCATTTATTTTTTACCTCTAATAATAATTTTTAAAAAGTTATAATACTTTTCTTCCCTTACTCCTATGGGTTGTTCTGCATACCACTACATATCAGTGTCTCACCTGTGGAAAAAAGGGTGCTCCTGTGGTTGAGGAGGTCTGGCTTGTTGCATGGCATGGCTGGCTTGCTCAGGCCAACATATCCTTAAAAAAAAAACCAAAAGACTCATTTCCCATGATACTAAAGTGAATGATTATTATTTTTTAAGAAGTGTTCTTGCTCCTCCTCCTGTACAAGCAAGGTACAAA